TTTCTCCTTCTATACTAACTTAATATTTACTATTTTCTATATTATACTAGATTACTATAGACTAACTAGAGTACTAATATTAAGAGTTAAAGTTACTCGTTATTATAATATTTTATATACTTTATAATATTCTATCTTTTATTTATAGCCCTATTAGGTTTTAGACCCTATCTTCTTATTTTTTAACTCGATTAAAAAACCTATTAGGTTTTTAGCTATTTTAAAAACCTAATTAATTTAACCCTATTAGGTTAGGTTCCGGGTTTTTAACTAGGTTTAGCCTAACCCGTTGCGTAGCCTAATTCGAAAGATCTATAAAGAAATTAATATATACGAGAAATAAGAGTATATCGCTTACCTAAAGTTTTAGAAAGTATTAGAAGAAAAATAATTAAAAGAGATTTATAGTATCTACTAGAAGTATAGAGCGTTACCTAGAAACTATATTAATTTAATAAATAATAGAAGAAACTCTATATAGCCTATTAAACCTACTTTATACGTAGAGAAATAACTTATAGGAGGTAATATACTAGGAATAAAAGTTAAGAAGCCTTAAGTAGAAGGCGAAGATACTAGGAATCTAGGTAGAAATCTTAAGCCCGAGGCTAGGAAATATTAATAGAAAATAAAAACTATTAAAGAAGGAAATATAAGCTCTTCTATAAGAGAATCTAGGAAAAGAATATCTCTAAAGAAGAAAGATATATTCGACTATATAACTATATAGTCGAGTCCGAAGAAGATTATACTTAATACTAGTATTTAAAAATTTCTTAATAAAGAGTTTTATAAGCTAAAGGATAGAACTATTAGAAGTTCGTCTACTAAGGCTATAGAATCTATATAACGACGGTTTAAGAATTTATTTATAATAGGAGCTAAGGTATAGAATACTAAGCTAATTATAATTCTAGTTAACTTAAAGAAACGACTAATTCTATATAGTCTAATACTTAGCCTCTTAAGTCTATTAGAACCGAAGAAACTAAATAGGAATCCTACGCTAATCTAAATAGTAGAAGCTAAGATAGAATATAAAATTTAAAGGATCTTTTAAGAAAATTAAGTCTTAAAGGAAGTAATAATAAATCGAGTCTTTTAGAGCTATTTAATTAAGAGCTTAATAGTAATATAGAAAGTTCTATAGAAATTAATAGTTAGGTAGATAGAAAGAAAAGTTAATAACGAGGAAGAAGAATTAATTAATAATAACGAGAAGAATATATTTACGAGTTTTTCTAGGCTCTAACTTATTAGTATTACTTTAGAACTATATATAAGTATAGTTAATTATAAGATAAAGAGTAAGAATAAAAGTAGAATAGTTAACGAGCTTAGATAGATATTCTATAAGTTTATAATAATAATTATACTTTCTTATATCGATCTATAAAGCGATATAGAATACTAAACGATAATCTAGGTAAGTCTAAATAACTACTATAATAAGTACGATAATTTAAACTAGAAGATTTATAGTAGTAATGTACGATACGAAGGATAGAGTCTTTAAATTAAGAACCTAGGTACTCTAGAAATTAGAAGATAGAAAACTAAATAGCTAAATAACTCTATTATACTAATAGCTATTACCGCTATTAAAGGATATAATAATAACTAAGTCTATATTATATTATACTATATATAGAATATAATTAAATAAGGTAAATATTATAAACTATAAAGAGGAAATAGAGACTAGACTCGTATTATTATTATTAATAAGGATCTATATTAGTTCTTAATTATCTAGAAACTAACTAAGGAAGAAAGAAGAAGTAAAGTCTTTTATCTCGACTCTATCTACGACTATAAGAAGGAAAAGAATAATAAGAACTTAATTTATTTCTACTCGTTATTAGTTACCGAAGGATATCTACTAGAAGATATTATTATTAGCGATATAAAAAGTAAGAAGTAATAGAATACTAGCGACTATAGGCTATAGATAATAATAAATTTTCGAGTATTCTATTATAGTAAGGATCTATAAGTAGTATAAATCGATATAGAGATAAGGGTAGAAGTAGTAGATATAATTACTAAAGAAGTTAAGAACTAGAAGATAAATCTATTCTTTCCGGAGAAGGCTTTTATACTAGGCGAGATAGGAGATTTTAATACGTCTACTAGAGAAAAGAAGATTATAATTATTAATCTTAAGGATTTAATTAAGGTTAATATATAATCTATTAGGAGTAAGATTAAAATACGATTAAAGAAGTAACTATTAAAGTAGAGGAGACTAAACTATATAACTATATAGCCGAATAATTTAGGAAGTACGAGGACGATTTATTATATATTATTTTATTTATATTACTTTAAGAATATAATACTAAAACGTTACGATTATAGTATAGATATTTCTTTTACTACTAGTTAATAGTAATTTCGTTCTATTTAGTATTTCGTTTAAAGCTCTTTACTCTTTATAAGGTAAACGACTTATATAAGTTATCGAGAGGAACTATTATATCGTTAATCTCGACGTTACTCTTTAAATTTTCTCTTACGATAACTAGTACTACGACCTTAGATTAACGAGAAGAATATTTAAATACTAGCTATAAAGAATTATTCTTAATACGATACGATTACTTAGTATTACGATATTTCTACGAAAGCGAAGTAATTTCTCTACGAGTTAGCTAGCGAGCCTATAGTTCTAGGTATTATAAATATACTTAAGAGGATTCTCTAAGTAGTAGAGCGAAGAGGAATATATTAGGGCTCGAGGCGCTTAGTTATAAGAAAAGAAAGAAGGAGCCTTAGTATAGAAGAATAAGTAAGTAAGGAAGAAAGTAGACGATTAAAGAGATAAGTAACGAAGGATAAGTAACCTAATATACGCGAGCTTACGTTAAGTACTAGATAGTAGTTATAAGA